CATACATACATACATACATACATACATACATACATACATATATATATATATATATATATATATATATATATATATTCAAAAAGATCCTTTTCATAAAAACTTTTTTTCCTGAGTATAAAAAGTGGAACTGTCACAGCGTCCTACTCCAATTCAGGAGCCCTCTGGCTGTTTGCTGTGGTCACCAAAGATGAGCCAGCAGATATCTTTGGTCAGCTCCAGGAGAGCCCTTCTGATGTCCCAACACAAGGAAGGCCTGTTCCTGACATCCTTTCTACTTCCTTAATAAACACACTACAGTTTGTTTGGCGCAAGCAAAGCCAAAATTGGAATGGTTCAGAAGTGGCAATTTATAGCCTCGGTTTAAAAAAAGGTAAATTGTGGGTTCTGGCCAAAACAATTTTTTTTTTTTTTGTAAGTGCGGTGAAAAGAGGAACTTTGAAACAAGCCAGTGGAGAAGGTTTGGGATCTAGAAATATTTACACACAGAGTACAGCAATCATTGTAGAGCCAGGAAGTCTAGTCAAAAACCAACCTATTATTTGGAGTATTTATATCGGCATCAAAAATGGATTCTGTCTACTCCAAGTTTACATTTTGTTTTCTATCTTGAGTACTGAACAAACACCACGGCAATCCTAAACTCTAATGCCTGCTCATTATGTGCACACAGAGGTATGATTTGAGTTGCTGACCTAATGTTATGCTCTCCTAAAGATATAGATAGATATAGATATAGATATATATATAAAAATGCATTAGGCTCCTGTTATGCTGCCTTAATTAAGGATAACTACATGCTTCTTCCAGAGCCACACATGGAGAATTAAGAAGCAAGAGGAACAAGCCTATTTCTAACTTTGTTTTCTGGAAGGACAGGGATTAAAAATAATAATTAAAAATGTGTGCGGCGACTGGAGACTCTTTGACTTCAGTGGTATCCACATTCGAGTCCAATTTGGCAATTTGGGATACGGAACTACTGGCCGTTATTTCTACGGGGTTACGATTTTTTAAAAAGCTATGGAGGAATCACAGGAGGAGAGGCGTGAAGTCAACAGACTTGTGACATTGCCAACACCTTGGGTGGAAGCTACTTCACTCCGTATTGAGAACTTCACAACGATGGACATCCCCAGAAGTTTCTCCACAAACCTTCACACTTGTTGCCTTGCAGCTTCCATTCCCGAAATATCTCGGTCAAAGAGTCCAGCTTGGAAGGTGACAGGTGGGGAAAAGGTATTTTTTTAACCGGGATCAGAATTTACCTATTAAAGAAGAAGAAAAATCTACGTATTTGTAAAAGGGGTACCATGCAACAGAGGTTCAACTATTCATTAGTTGCTTCATTCAGATTTATCTCCAGGGCTAGTGCAATGGTACCTTGGTGCTCAATTGCTTTGAAACTCATCAAATTTGGTACTCAATGTATTTTGATGAAACAATTGTGTCCCAGTACTCATCATTTGTTTAGTAGTCAACATATAAGCTATAATTTGTCGATGTCAACTGCCTCGTGACTCACTGTTTTATTCCTCATGGGAAAATTTTGTTTGGTACTCATCCTTTCTGGTACTCATCACGCTCCCGGAAACAATTAACTCTGTGTGCCGAGATACCACTCTTAATGCTAAGTTAGATTTTGGAAAATTGGGCTGTTGAGGGGAAAGGGTGGACAATAAGATGGGTTGCCGCTAAACCTGTTGTTTCATTGGAGGTGCTTCTTCACTAAATTTCCATCTATTTGCATGCATAAAGTCAAGCAATCTTAATGTCTTCCTCGTTTCTATTCATCAGATTGAGACATACCGTATTTTTTGGAGTATAAGATGCACCAGAGTATAAGATGCACCAAGATTTTGAAGAGGTAAATTTTTAAAAAAAGGTTTTGCACTCTGCAGGCCTCCCAAACCCTCTGCATTCCTCATTTTTTTGTGAAAAACAGGGCATGCATAAGTTTTGGGAAGCTTGTAGAGTGCTCCTGGGGTGGGGGTGGGGTGCAAAAACAAGCAAAAAACAGTCTGTTTTCCGCTCATTTTTGCCCTCCTCAGCCTCCAGGAGCACTTTACAGGCCTCCCAAAGGCTATGTACATCCATTTTTGCGAGGGGGGGCTTTTGGGAGGCCAAAAATGCTGTAAAAAACACACCCAGATTTTCACTCACTTTTTGGGGGGGAAAGATGCGTCTTATACTCCAGTATACAGTAATTAGTCCATCAAGCCACGTAATATTCAAGATCACTTAATCAAGATGAGTTTGCTTTTTCTTCCCCAAGTATTGCCTTCAATTATCACTTTTGTGGTCAAAAGTATGACCTTCGCTCAAGAGACAAGTTGAAAGGAGGAATCTTGAGCTCTAGGTGGCTCAACCAGTTATAACTGAGAATTTTCAGTATTTTCAGGGGCTCACTCCCACACAGAGGAGAGAGGAAAATATTATAAATCTACCTGACCAAGTAAGATCAGGTGCCTTCAATATATCATTTGCTTGATAAACCATTACCAGATAAAGTCGGTGGAGATCCATATCTCAAGTTGGTCCGTCCACAGACACCTTCCCATCACATGTCATCTCAGGTCCTTCAAGCCATTGCGTATGTGGAAGCCAAAAGGAAAAGTATTCTTCAACTTAATCATGACTGCAGAGAAATCACGGAGAGCAAAAAGATTCAGGTGTGTTTGATTATTTCACATGTTATAGAACACAGCTGTGTCTAACTACTAGGCCCACTCCCTCTGGACTCCTACCTGTTCATAGACATGCTAACGGAGGTGGGTTCCTACCAGTTCGCACCAGTTCGGTAGAACCGGTTCGTCAAATCTACTGAACCGGTTAGAAGAGGTTCCACCAGTGGACCCAGAAAGCAGGCCACACCTGCAGAAGAGGTTCCGAAATTTTTTGAAACCCACCACTGACACACAGACAGACAGACAGACAGACAGACTCACACAGAGAGAGAAAGAGAAAGAGAAAGAAAGGAAGGAAGAAAGAAATAAAGAAAAAAAGAAAGAAAAAGTGAGAGAGAGATGAAAGAAAAAAAGGAAAAAGGGACAGAGACAAAAGGAAGGAAAGAGAGAGAGAGAGAGAGAGAGAGAGAACATGGCCGACAAGCCACTCCCACCAGGTCACATGGCTGGCAAGCCACTCCCACAAAGGAGGCCACACCCACAGAGTAGGTTCGAAAAATTTTTGAAACCCACCACTGCATGCTAACTTCTTCCTCACACTGCATCATTTATGACAGTACAAATTCCTTCATATCCATGATGAAACATGAAAAGATGTTGGAAGAACACAGTTCCTCGGAGTGAATGATCGACAATCGCACCCCATCCTGGGACCTAGGGAGCTTGGTGAAGAGGAATTGACTCCTAGACCTCTGAATCATCCATTCAGGGCAGGCACCGGGCTGCCTTCTCTCAGCTGACTTCCGTTTTTCTTTTATGCTAAGCCATAGAACCGAAAGAAGTGGCCTTCAGAAGGACACTCCCTTAAAATACGGCAGGTCAGCAATGCTAAACGGATCAAGTGAAAGCAACCTGAACCAAGCTGGAAATGAAATGTGCACGCACAATAAATAAAGAGGAAGCGGGAAGCTTCCACTGGTTGTGAATTATGTACGAAATCTCCACCTCCAGCTGTTCTCGGCATCCCAAGGACATCAGCTGAGCTAGAAAAACTGGAGCTTGCCTTTGGACGAATGGAATAAAATGAATTCATTCAGAACGGAGAGGCTGAGATGGGTGCCTTCTATTTATTTAAAGGTAAAGGTAAAAGTTCCCCTTGCACATACTATGTGCTAGCCGTTCCTGACTCTAGGGGGCAGTGCTCATCTCCGTTTCACAGCCAAAGAGCCAGCACTGTCCAAAGACATCTCCATGGTCATGTGGCTGGCATGACTTCAACACCGAAGGCGCACGGAACGCTGTTCCCTTCCCACCAAAGATGGTTCCTATTTTTCTACTTGCGCTTTTTACGTGCTTTCGAACTGCTAGGTTGGCAGAGCTGGGGCAAGTAACGGGAGCTCACTCCATTACGCAGCGCTAGGGATTCGAACTGCCGACCTTCTGATTGAAAAGCTGAGCACCTTAGCCACTGAGCCACTGTGCCCCTTATTTTTATTTGCAGAAAAAAAAGGCAAATAAATCCCAGAACCTTTTTTTTCCCCATCAAACAAAAGAAAGAGAAATACCTAAACACCTCCTCTCGCTTTTGCCAAGGATGCCAAAGTTAAAATGGATGAAAAGAGTGAGCTTTCAAAGAAGAAATGGATTTATATAGATATGTGGGTTTTTTTTTACAGATCAGGATGTAATAGGCATAACCAATGCACACAAAATGGAACTGCATGAAGGAAAACCTCCTGCCATCTTTAGCAGAAAGAAAACGGACACGAGGGGTTGGGGGTTTTCATTTGTGCCTTCAGTTTAAAATGAAATAAAAAAATAATCTTCAGGCTGCATCAGTTTCACAGTAATTATTATCGCTCACAATTTGGTTCTTTTTTCCTGCTAATAATCTTCTGTTACATGCCTTTATACATTATACGTGCAGGCACACAACACAAAGTTTTAAAAAAAACCTCGTTAAACCTTTAATCAAAGAGATATTGAACATGCTTGAATTGCTGAAAACTTGCTCCAACTTTTTAAAGTGTTTGAATTTGTGCAGACAGTTGAATCCCAATCTTATGTTTATTAGTTTGCAAATGGCACCCCAAACCATTGAATACGATGCAGGAATTCTAAAAGATTTTATCCCCCCCCCCCAAAAAAATACTCCATGGGTGCTTATAAAATTAAGCCATAAATGTCACAAGAGGGTGCATCACAGCTATAATGGAACCATGGAAAGCTAAAATATGGGTTTTCCTGCTACATAATCTTTCCCAGTCATCCTTAAGTTTCCATGAACAGCATTCACCCAGTAATAAAATACTTTTGATATCTCTCTTGCACACAAAATAAGAATATAGATCTTTACCTTCGTTCTGTATCACAGCTGTAAGAATATTTCCAAGAAATGCATCTCGGGTCATTCATGCTAAAGGGAAGCAACTGCCACATGTTTTGATTCCTTGCCATTCTCCAGATGTTGCTAGAAGGTCTTGATCTTTGTCCCAATGCTGACCACCTATTGGTCCTGCTTGGATCCCTGGTTTGTTTTGGAAGAAGCCCTGGTGCCACCAGGTCAAACTCTTTCTCTAGATCCATGTTGGATGGAGATCCCAGAATGGCAAAGCCAATTCAATTCCCACAGAAGTGCTTGGAGAAAAGATTGCAAAGAATAAATCTGGGAAGCATCTGATCAATGCTTCGATTCTTCAGTCAATTCCCTTATCCTCAAAATTCCAACCTTTAAAGATTTCCAGTATGACGTCTTTGCTTTTCCACTTTCGTTTCAGATAACTTAACTTAGAAGAAGGTTCCTTTATTTTAGAAGGACCTCGTCCACTGAAGCTCTCGAGAAAACCCAAACGGTCTCGATTGTTCATCCGTGAAAATGCTTATAATTATTGCACATTTTCGACTGATGACCACAAAGACGAGAAGACTACTACAAGCTAAGAAAGGGGATAGAGAAAGAGGGAGAAGAAAGGAAGGAAAGAAGGAAGGAAGGAGGGGAAGGAATCCCTCCTTCTCTCCTTCCCTTGAAGATCCCATTTTCACATTATTCAGGCTTCATTATGCTGAATCAATATTCGTTTAGTCACTGCCGTTATTGACATATTTTAAAATAAAAGTACACCCTTCAGCTACTGCAGTCATTACAGGCAATTTGTCTTGTCACGGAGAAGTAGGGAATATTATCTCGGCGTCCTTTCAGAGGCCGACAGCCCATGGAAAGACATTCCCATGGTTATAACTGTAAATAATTTTCAGGCAAAAATATTGAAAAATCAATGGTTGTTTCCTGCAATCTGTCACAAACAAATCAATCATCGTTTCCACCCACCCACCCACCCCCTAACGCCAGCCGAGTGGAGATTCAGAGGAGATGAGTGAACAGGTGTAATTCTCGCCCGGTATTTCACGTTTCGGAGGAGAAAGGATGGTGGGGGAGAGAAAATCACGGCACACGTAATGGCGGTCATCATTTAAACACTTAGCAGGCCCCGGCTACTGTCTCCATCACTCACAGCTCCAAACTGGGCAGGAGGCAACAGCTTCAGCTACACAAACAAAATGGCCATTGCAAATGCTCGCGGAATTAAGCCGCCGTTGTCCGATTGGGCTTTACGGTCTCCCAGCTGCAGCTCCCAGCTCCTGGCCAATCAATAATGATTTGATTCCCTATAAATTCGCCTCTGAAGATGGATTGTGCTGGGTAATGTAATCAAGCTTGCAGGTTGGAGGCGGACACAGGCAGGCATGCTGGCCTTCACGTTGGGGCAATCTGGCATTTTACCTTCTTCGGCTTCGTAACCTGCTTCCAATTTGCAGACTCTGAAGACAGACAGACAGACAGACAGATAGAGCAGGCAGGCAGGCAGGCAGGCAGGCAGGCAGGCAGGCAAGCAAGCAAGCAAGCAAGCAAGCAAGCAAGCAAGCAAGCAAGCAAGCAAGCAAGC